TAGCTATCGTATTACGCTTATAGGATCTTCTAGCGCGCGATTTTAACGTCGTACGCCTTTTAGCCGGCGTCCGTAAGGTCGAGATATTACGTAGGCGTACGCCTAGGTGTTATAGATAGGAAGGAGCCGTAATCCGGTATTATAGGCTCCTCGGGGAACTAAGTCGGATCGACTAGGCGGAGAAACCTCTATACGTTATTATAGGTGGTAACCGATTTATATAGGCGTCGCCAGAGCTCCTAATCCTTATAGGTTTTATACGTAATAGGGCTAAGATACGATATCTTAATAGCTATTTATAGATTAACACGCTATATCGGCGTAGCTAGATGACTTCTTAAATCGGTAGTAGTAGTAAAAGGGTAGGTAAAATAGGTATATCTTCACTTAGTAAGTAAGACTCTTAATTATCAGATAAAGCGTAGTTAAAATCGTCATAAAATAGGTCAAAATTTTATTAAGGTAATTATATATAATTATAACTGTCTCCGACTGTCAGGGAAACGCTACCACCGTATTTTATATAGTGCAGATTTTGCAAGCGTCCACCCGGATTATACTTTTAGCAATCCGGCCTATTACGTAACCGAAAAGACTGTGGTCTGTTCGACATCTGACACCCTACGTCACGGTAGATACACAGCCGACTCGTGTTCGGACGGTCTACCTAGGCGGTTTCCTGGCCCCTGTGTTTCTTCCGTACGTATGGAAGACGTCCCGTATATGGCACTCTTAAGATCTCGCCTGTATATTCGTACGACACATGGTCTTCTTTCTTCATGATCGATTCAGGCGACGTCTATCGAATTACACGACGTTCTCTAATTTAAGCCCCAGGTTATGGAGCCGGTTCCCGAGGCGGAGAGAATGGAGCAGTTCCACCCCTCTCCTGTTCCGTCTCTCTGCCTCCAAAATGCCTCCGCCAGTCCCTCCGAGTTTCAGCTTCTAAAGAAACCCCCAACAATTCGTCGTTCTACAGATCCCAGTCCGTCACTGCCGAGCTTCTCCTGGACGCCTCCGACGTTTCCATACCGGCCCCGAACTACATCACCACTTTCTCGCACCCATACCAGATCCAGGTCCGCAGTCAGTCTAACCCATGGTATGTCACGGACTCAGTCGATGCCCGGTGTTACCGCCTCTGGACATATACTGTACTCTCCGCAATTACGCCCAGCCAGCCCTTGTGGATCACCTAGTCGAGCTCGAGCGCCGCGAAATCCCGTTGATGAAGCCTTCCCGACATCTCCTGTACGCAACTCTGTCCTCGAGAAAGAAAGAAAGGGGCCGGGGCAAACCATGTCACCGCCCCAGGCCTTTTTGGCTTCCAGTACTACTACGGCTTGCTATCGGCGTCCATCCTCTCCGCTTCGCCACGCAACTCACGCCATAGTATGTCCCCTTTCTCCTATACCAACCACACCATCCTCTGTGCCTCCATACTCGTGTTCACGATACCACGATGCGTTATCAAACAACTATAACAACGCAATACTTATCCCATCCTCACCTCTTCCCTCAACGCCTACCTCGGCCAGGTCCCGAAGCCCGAGTATTTCCAGTTTAGAGACAATCCCAGATTCGCCAGACGCCGAAGAGGCAGCCATGGAAGCTGAAAGGATAGCTCGGCTGAAGGCCGCTGCTGAGGAAGCGGAAACAGGTGAACCGGCCGTTGACCTTAGGTGTGGGGGCAGCTTTGATACTCCCACTCGGGGTCGGACATTAGGTTTCATCTCCCGGGACAAGAGGAAACGCTGGAGCGTCTGTGGAGCAGAACGGAGAGGTGACATAGACCTAGAAACTATCTGGGAGGACTAGTTCCCCCATGTGGACTGTCAGTCTGACCGCCCGCGCGTCGATTCCCAGTGCGAGAAACAGGCCGTTTTCCATTCCCGCTTCGATTTGTTGCCAATGCAGTTCCTCTTAGTATACTCCTAGCCTGGGACGCGTTTTGTCTGTTGTTTTGACCTGGGGGAGCAATCGTAGCACCTGAAGTTTATCCTGATACCCTTTTCTTCACATAATTGCAAACATTTAAAGCCAGCTTCATTTCTTTAGGTGGGGGATAAATATATGTATGTCCTGGGAATTTCACGAGGGTCTAGAAGAAACAATAAGAGATACATTCTCGACTTGTTCGGCGTTGTAAAGGTATAAACTGTTCTTGGCAGAGACGATACGCCTATAATTCGGGGTATAGTAGACGATAGATTAATCCGAGGTTGCTAATAAGCTGATATTTTCTAAGAGGTTAAGTATTAGATACTACTATACACTTTCTTTTATTTATTAGGGTATTATTATTATTATTTAATATATAATCGACACGCCTATTAACCTCGGACGCGTAATAAGAGCAAAATCGATAAAACTATCGGGATAGAGATTATAACTACTACCTCCCTCCCGGGATACTATCGTAGCGGTACTATAATACCAGCGCTACGGTATAGCCGGAAGAGTCGTGGGATAGCGTCGCCCTGGCCTTAACTATATAGAATTCGTAACGGACCCACTTTTCGTAATATAAGCGCTCCCCCCCCCGCCCGTAGCAGGATATAGCGCGGAACTGATATAAGACTAAAAGGGGACTACCGCGCCCCCCGGAACCGAGAGTAACTAAGATTAGGGTAGAAATTTAGGCCTTATTAGCTAACAGGAATACGATTAATTAGGTCGTGGAGCTAGTAGAGGAACTAATCACGATACGTAGCACCTATAAGGACGCCGGTACGATACCGCTAACGCACCTACACGCTACTATTTATTATATTATCTAAGAGGAACTCCGAAAAAGGATAAACGGTATAAAAACAACTTAGGCTAATATCGTAGCCCGGGCTCCCGTAACAGTACCGCCACGGGACCCTATACCCCCTAAAATAATCCCTATTAGGTATTACTAGGAATTAATTATCCGCTAAGGAACCCTCCCCGAAGACTAGCCCCTTAAGGATAGGACCCTAAAGGAGATTATTTAAGCTATAAACGCCACGACTACCCGATACGATACCGTAGTAGCATAGAAGCTACTAAGCGGAAATATCTACCTTACCTTTACCGAAAGGGTATAGTAGTAGGCCACCTATAAGGAATAATAGATTAAGAAGGCTTTTAGTAAAGGAGTTACCCTAGCCGTACGTATTTACCCTATACTAGCTAAGGCTATCCCCCGGGAGGTCCTTAACGCCTTATCCGAAAAAGACCTACTAGTATCCTTATAGGATATAAACCCCGAGGTAAAAATTATCCGAGTATAATAACGGGTATCCCGCCGCGGCACCGGTAAGGTAGCGCTCTTCCTTATCGAATCGGCTTTACCGGAAGGGGTAGTAAGCCTTATCTAGAATACCCTCCTCTTTAAGGGGGGTAGCTATATCTATAAACTATTTAACCCCGACCTTAGCCCCCTAAAGTACTATAAGTGCCTATACTTCGGCTACCGAGCGAATAGCTACCCTATAACGGAGAGGGTATACCGTTACTACGCTAAGCCCGAATCGGCGTATCCCTAAGGCCTAGGATATTATAAAGCTATAGCGCCGGGGCGCCCCCGCCGCTACGCTGCTTATACCGGAGACTATAATACCTTTAACGATTTATACTAATTACTAAAGAAAAAGGCTAAGAAGACCCGCGAAGCGTATAAGTACTAAGCTAGGGACTTCGATATCACCCGCTAGACCGAAGCGGTATACCCGCGGTAGCCATAGATCTTTCCCCTAATTATTATCGCCTAGGACTAGGACTAACCCCTCCGTAAAGGTAGGGGTCGGCCCCTAAAAAGGATGAGGGGATAGGAGGGCTCCCCGATACTAGGCCTAATAAGCGCCTATATAGTCCCCTATAAGGCTGATAAGGCACCGTAGTAGGAACCCTGGAGCTAGACCCCGGTTATACCGGGTATATTATCTTAACCCCCCCCCCCCTTTTAATTAATAGAAATCCACGTCCTTTTATAGAATATAGGGAGGAGTTAGGCGCGGCGGGAGCTATTACTCCGGTGCCGCGCCGAGTACGATATAATAGTAATTTAGGAACCCGGCCTTAACCGCTTCACGAAAAGCCCCGTATACCCCTCCTAAGGGGTATACCGGCTAATCTAAGGAGGAGGCTACGCCCTCCTATATATCTATAAAAGATACCCGCTATATATATAGACGTGGCAGGCTTACCACGATACCTATACGGTTATATTCGGGACCGGAGATAATACCCTTATAATCTAGTCGATTTACTTAGAGAACTACTAGTCGGCTAGGATCCCCTAGAATACGCCCCTATAAGATATATTCGATATAGTACCGCTATAAGGCCGATATATCCTTATAGGGGACTTTAACCTATACTATCCCCTATAGTTATAGCTACCACGGTATTACCCCTAAGCCGATACCCCTACTTACCCTTATAACCCGATAGAACCTAGACCTAGTAACCCCCCCCGGAATAACTATATAGTACTGCCTAGGCTAATATACTAGCACTATCGACCTTATATAGGTAATATAAGGGCTCTGCTACGACTTCGGCGGCCTTAATAAGACCGTTATCGGGTTAGACTATTACTTATAAATAGCCCGAATCCTTATAAAGACGGATACTACGCCGATTACCACGATAATACCACCGCGAGACCTAGCTAGGCCCCGCTAGGTCTAGAAAGACTTTAACCCCTTATAGGTCTCCTAACTCGCCGCCACGTAACTATAGTAGACCGGCCCCCTTATAATACTAGCAGATATCGACTTAGCACTAAATAACCTAATAGGAGACCTTATAACCCTAGCCGATAAGGCCGTACCGCACCGCCGCGGGGGCCCCCCTAAACGCCTATCCACCCCTTAGTAGAACGCGGAACTAACCGCCCTTACCTAGGAAATAAGGCGCCTTTACCGTAGATATATATCTAGGAAGTCCCGGAACCGATAGGATAAGTTCTAGGAAGCGGAGAGGTGCTAAGATAAGGCTATAGCGGTAGCGAAGCGGCTATACTAGTAGCACATACTCTACTTGACCGGGAAGGATGATAGCCTCCTTTAGCGACTATAAAAATAGGCACGAAGTAAAAGGGGAGCTCCGCCGGACCCCTTATTAGTGCTACTACTATACTAAGATAATAGCGATAACCCGGTAACTATACACGTAGAGAAAGCCGAAGTCCTTAACCGGAAATTCTTCCTACCCCCCCTCCTTACCGCCCCTAAGCCCTTAGGCGCGGAATTCTCCCCGGGGTAGGATATTCGCCGCGACGTTACCGTAGCGGATATATAGGGGCGCCTTAAGACGACTAAACTATAGGCGGTATTAGGACCCGACGGACTCCTAGTAGGGCTCTTAAAAGCGTATAGACCCCCCCTATACTAAAGACTTAATGCTATTTTTATAGCGTGCCTCGAAGTAAGCTATTACCCGAAAAGGTACCGCCACGCTACCGTGGTAGTCCTTAAGAAGAAAGGCCGGCCGCCGGCCGACTACGGGATAATAAAGGGCTAGCGACTAATATTACTCTTTAGTATAATAGGTAAGGTCCTTAAGGGGATATTAGCCGACCGGATCGCTACCGTAGCGGAGGAGTATTAGCTCCTCCCGGAGGGATAAATAGGTAACCGGATAAGGCGAAGTATAGAGATAGTAGTATAAAGAGTCACGGAGGCCGTAAGGGCGAGTTAAGCCTACGGCGGCACCGCTTTAATACTCTAACTAAATATTAAAGGAGTATTCGATACTATCCCCTACCCCCGCCTCCTTAAGGTACTTAAAAGGAAAGGCTTCCCCTAATAGCTTACTACCCTAATTAATAGCTTCCTTTAAAACCGTATAGCCTAGCTACTACTTAATAGCGAAACGGCCCCCCCGCGGTACCTCCGGGGGGGGGGGTACTATAAAGCTCCTTAATATCTCCTATCCTCTTTATTCTCTACATCTCCACCCTATACGAAAAACTAAAAAGGGTCTTTAAAACAACGGTAATAGGTTTTACCGATAACACGAATATTATCGCCTTTAGCAGGACGGAGGTATAAATATAATACCGCCTCGCCGCCGTGTAGCGGATATACCTAGACTAGGAGATAGCGAGTAGACTATAGTTCGAACTAGCTAAGTATATATATATCCCTTTTATAAAGTCACGCTAGCCTTTACCTACCCCGTTTCCCCTTAGTACTACTCCGGTACCGGCGGCGGAGGCGATAAGGCTTTTAGGCGTTTAGCTTAATAGGAAGCTCGACTTCCGATAAAATACTAAAGAGGTAAAAAGCCGACTAACTACCTAAATATACGCCCTCTTAAGGCTTAGCGCGGTAGGATAGGGGTATAGCTTTGTAGATATAAGAAGACTATACCTTATAGTAATATAACTAGTAATCGCTTATTATACCTTGACTATTTATAAGATAGGGGCCGGCCCCTAGTATAGCCCCGTAGCGGCACTTATAATAATATAGAACCGGTGCCTTTAATTAGTAGCCGGAGCCTATAAAGCCACGCCGGTTAGGGTCCTCGAAAAAAAGACCTTTATCCCCCCCCTTAACCTATACCTCTTAAGCCTAAGTGCCCGGAAGGTCCGCCGGATATAAGAGGAGGGAACCGAGGATAAGATATTAGCCGGGGTATACGCCGTAGCGAGAGCCTTAGCGGCACCGAATCGATACTATAGGACCTACGCGGCCCTCGCGTGGATAGCCTAACTTAACGCCCTAACGACCTAGGCCGGAAACGCGGCCCCGAGGAAAGCCCTTATAAGGGAATAGGGTCGAACCTAGGCAGAGGCACGGAGGCCCTATACCTACGCTGTAGCGGTACCGAACCGCCCCCTGATATACCGCTCCCTCCGGAAATATAGAGGACTCCTAAAGCTATAGAGTACTGTACTTACCTAAATCAGATCAGAAAAGCTAGGCCTAGAAGCCTTCTTAGCAAAAATAAGGGTGCCGGGATTCCTAACCACGCGGTACCCTTACGGTAACGGGGGGGCAGAAACAGCGGAGCACGTGGTGCTCTAGTACCAGGATATAACCGAGGAAGAGCGTAGAGAGCTTTTCGATACCGTAGGGAGACCACTCACGACTAGAGGGGATTTATACGACGCACTAGACTATAACACCGAAGCCGGGACGATAGCTAAGTGGTTCCTATAACGGAAAAGGCTTAAGGACTTTCGCCTTACCCTCGAAGTCATAGAGGCCTACGAAAATAGAGATAACACCGAAGCGAGACC